TTTCATCATCTGAGGCCAATAAAATATCGTCAAAATAGACTATTAAACCTGGGACATCTGCAAAATTTTCTTCCAACAACATATTGAAAAAATTCTGGAGCGTTAGCAACCCCCATCGGTAACCTGTTGAATCTATAACACCCAAAAATAGTGCTAAAAGTCGTTAAATTTTTTTGAAGCTTCGTCCAATTCAATTAGGTCAAATACACTAAAATATTTTTTACCAGCTAACTTGGCTGAAATTTCCTCCACAGTGGGGATGGCATAAAAATCTCTCCGAATTGCCTTGTTTAAATCTTGTGGATTTAAACATAATCTAAGAGATTTATCTGCCTTTTCCACAAGTACCAAATTATTGACCCACTCCCCTGGCTCCATATTTTTACTTATGATTCCTAATTTTTCTAATTCATTTATTTTTTCTTTAAATTTGTCCCTAATACCCAATGGTACTCTTCTAGGTGGTTTGACTACAGGACTGTAATAGTTTTTTAAAATTAATTTACATTTCTGCTGAAATTTTCCTAATCCTCTAAAATTAAATTCATTTTCTTGGATAAATTTTTTGTTTTTCTAGCTCATAAGTCTGATCACTACTTATTTCAGTAACATTTGTTAATAACCCTAAAACTGTTGAACCCTTTAAACCTTATAGTGGGCCTACTTCAATATCCACAGTTATTACGTAAAAGGTAAATCAGATGAAGCTGGATTTAAGCAAAATTTTGCATATTTCACCTAATATTGGACAAATTTTTTCAATATAATGATTATAAACAATAGTAATAAGCAAGACTAGACGGGAACTTACCACTCTTACCAGCTTCCAACGATGAAATATAATTTTTATCGTAATTTATATAGAAAAATAATTGATTAGCGATGTCTTCAAAATTGCTGAATTTAATTATAGGACATAGAACATATTATTATATCAGGACTAAAATTTAATGTGGAATCCAAAAACATATTCAAAAATGGGTTATTCCATTCAAATTAAGCAAGAAATGTTAAATCTTTTGCTTTATCTTCTAAACCCGACTTTCCATTTTTTTTAAATAAATGTTCATAATTCCTCATAAAAATCCCAACAACTTTTATATTTAACATTTTTTTGTACCTCTTCAATTAACAGGTATATAAGGTAAAAAGCACTTTCGTTGGATAACCCTGTACATGAAATTGACGTATTAGCAATCGTTCGTTTTTGTTGCTATTTTTTTTGTTTCATCTGATTCGTTATTGATAAGTAAGGATGGGTTTATTCTACATGAGTATTAAAAATACTATATGTGCTGACTTTTCAGGACTGGGACTCTGTTGGCCGTTTTCACCGACGATTTCAAGGAAGCCTTAGCGATAAGTATTCCTTAAAATGACATTTTTGAGAAATGTCACTTTTATGGCCGTTTTCCCAGCAATTGCCTCAAATAAAGAATGGTTGTTAAGATACACTCATATTTTAAGTAGCCCTTAAGACTTGTTGCGTTGCTCCAGCGGCTCTCAGGATCAACTCTTAATAAAGAACGAAGTACGGTCTTGCAACGTTGCATTTTTGTCAAAAGAAGGTCGAAAATAATTCCTAACCAACAGCGAAGACCCGTCTGCCTATCGCCCGAGAGCTTTGTTGACTACTCTCGAAGATTATTTTGAAAAAAAAATAGTCAAAGTGCTATTGGTTGAATATCTGAGGCTCAATGGAATTCTCACACCGGAGCAGTTCGGGTTTCGAGATGGTAACGGTTGTGGTGACGCAATGTTCTCATTCCTTGAGAGATTCTTTCTTGGCCTGAATGATGGCGAGAGGGTCGCAGCAGTGTTTTGTTATTTCTCAAAAGCATTTGACTGCATGAATCACGAAATACTGTTGCGGAAAATGCGCCATTATGGGGTTGGGGGAAGGGAATTGAGTTGGTTTAAGTCGTACCTTTCGGGAAGAAGCCAATTTGTAAGAATTCCAGGCGGGCGGGATTCTGAAGAGTCCAATCAGCCACACGGCGTTCCCCAGGGGTCTGTTCTTGGGTCTATACTCTTTCTGATCTACGTGAACGATCTAGCAACTCTGCCTGTTATGGGGGATTTTGTGATTTTTGCGGATGACACGACAATGCTCTGGAATCATAAGGACGAGAAAATCCTAAAACACAATCAGTTGAAGGAGACTTGATCATGATAAAGGAATGGTGTGATGCAAATTGCTTGGTTATTAATATATCGAAAACAAATATACATTCTCTTAAGTGTGATCTTAACAACATTACATTGGACGGAAGAACTTTAGAACACAAATCAACTGTCAGGTTCCTGGGTGTGCACATAGATTCCAGACTCAGATTTGAGACACATATCGGAGCTCTCAATAAAAATCTGTCACAGGGCTGCTACATAGTCAAAAGCATACTGCATGAGCAAGGCAAGCGTTCAGCTAAGTAATACCTAACAGCAGATTTCTTGGAATTTTCATACACGGAGAGCACACATATATAGATTTTCTTGCCACTAAGCTATCATAATGTGGTTGTTTTGCTGTTAGGATTAGTGTTCAGGAGCTTGGCCTGAGGATTAGCAAGTTGGTTTATTATTCACTCTTCGAATCTCATCTTCGGTATGGTATTGCTTTCTAGGGAAATGCAAGCAACTACATGATTCAAATTCTCTTAATTATCCAAAAGACTATATTTGTAGGGCCAATCCCCGGGATTCATGTCGACCACTTTTCTTCGGGAGAAAATATTAACTCTCTCATGTCTATACATCCTTGAAACTGCTCGCATCGCCTTTAAGTACCAATCAGGATTCATGGCGAGAAACCCCGATATCCATCAAGCAGGAATCACATGATCTTGCACCTTCAAGGACCTACTTCTGGTTTAACAAGGAGATCCGTCTTTTATGAGAGTGTTAATATATTCAACCACCTTCCCCTTGATATTAAAAACTCGGCACCCCCAGAATATTTAAAATGCAGATGAAAAGGTTGCTTATTACAAAGGCATATTATTCTGCTACGGAATTTTTTAAGCATGCACTATAGGTCAAAACCTGAAACTGACGAGTAATGTTGCATTTGCTTCCTACAAGGGTGGTTCACTCTACTATTGTCTAAAGCTACTTGTGTTATAACTGTTATATGCATCTGTCTATAATGACTGTTTATAGTGAAACATATACATACATGTTTGATATGTTTTTAATATGGATGTTGGTTGATCTATTTTTAGGGTTTATGTATGCCATTTTACAATTATTTTATTATTTTAGAGACTTAATATTGTTTGTAACTACCAAAGTTTTACCCCTTTTATTAGTTTTTATTGTTGTTTGTTCTTTCCTTCTACTATTCCTATTATTTTTCTCTTAAGATCTGTAGAACAATAAAGCAGTATTTGATTTGAATAATGGAGTTGCATATTAGCATTTTGGGGTTTTTCTACCCAGGCATCGGTCCGGTTGGTGTTTGTTTCTCTGCGCTATCTCTGCACGATGAGTTTCCGGGAGAGTTGTAGGACGGTCTTGGTACGATAGCAAATACTGACCGTCCCATGTATTTTTATACTGGGGGTGGCATCTTTGATATTTAAAAAGTTTCGTGAATTTTCCAGAGTACCTAGATCGTTACAATTTTAGAAACCACACCTTTGCCAATCCCAAAATCACAGTTAACAAAGTACCTACCTACCTTGAATTCGTTTGCTTTATTACGGATATTTTTACGTCCTTGCACAATTTTCTTCGCGTCGCGCGTCGTCTCGTGTTTTAGATTTTTCCTCCTTGCATCCTCTCTAAACCGGATACGCTTTATTTTCTCTTAACAGATATAGTCAAGCAAAGCGAAAATTAATTAAAAAAGCTGCCTCGTTCTAAAATGAGATATATTTTAAGTATTGTGACTTGGACGTAGATATTTACGCCCCTGGTCCATGACAGTTTCATTAGCGTTGTGGAGAGATGAATGGCTCACGGCAACAGAGCGGACTCGTCTACTTACCACTATTATTAAAAAGTTTTTGTGTGTGCTTCATTAAAATCGTTGTTTATTAGCGTAAAAATAAACGATTATACTGCTGTGTCAACAGGAACAAGATTTAATGGATAATTTTTCATAAATTTTTTATCAATTTGAACCATCTCAAGTTTGCTTTTAACAAGCTTTCCATATTAAGGAATATGTACCTTATATACAACAAAGATTTGCCAAAAAAAAACGCGGTGTGTTTTAATACGTCCTACTAACCTTGAAATAATAAAACTTGCTTGGTAATTAAATTTAAAAAAATCTCACGCTTCATCTTAATATAGAACCATTATAATAAAGTACCAAATTATCGTATTTCCTTTTGGTGGATATCAAAAAGCAGTTAACTTTCTCGTATCACAAAATGTGCTGGTAGGTATTACATGCGTAGGTATATATTTACGTCAGTCAATGACAGTTTAATTAGTCTTGTGGGTCATGGTAATATAATCAAATGAACAGTAGATAAATACAACATTGACAAACTATAATTAAACCATTTCTGCCTCCGCATTGTTTCGAAATAATGTTGGCTGAAATTAAAAAAAAAAAAAACTGGCGGACATGTGTAGCTATGGTAGTATTTCATATACATATAACACTCGTTTGCCTTTTCCCCTGGGAACAGGTGTGTCATAAATTAATTTGTAAATCCGACTGTAACAGATGCATTTAGGTGATACTAATAATTCAAGCGGTTTCATATATTTGGATATAATTATTGTCAAACAAACTCTGTATTATCCAAATAATGTAATATACAAAACTTTAACGGTACATATCCTAAAACTGAAAACGAAATCTATATTTCAGCAAACATCAAACATATGGAGTTATTTGATGTTGATCACATTTCAGGATTAAAAGTTGCTTTTTATTAGTTCCTTATACATCCATCATTATTTTGATGTGTTTTCATTTGAACAGCCTTCCCTCTATTATCAAAATGATGATTAAATTTCATGAAATATTTTTTTCTTTCTAGGGAAGTGCGTACTGTAACTCTTCACAAGGGCAACACCGGTCTTGGATTCAATATCGTTGGCGGAGAAGATGGAGAAGGCATTTTCGTATCATTCATTTTGGCAGGAGGTCCAGCGGATTCCAATGGAGAACTTAAGAGAGGAGATCAAATTCTTAGCGTTAATGGAGTTAATTTGAGGAGCGCGACTCATGAAGACGCTGCTCAAGCACTAAAAGTAAGGTTTTTTTTTTCTGGCTTGTTGGTTTAAGACGGGGTCAGGCGTGCTCGTGTTTTTAGATTTGCACTGCAGCCTTAAGGCTTATTGTGCTTAAGCAAGTTCCGCCCCTTTGATGAGATCTAGCAGCTTGCTGGCAAGTTTCTCATGCGAGAGTCTCTCGCCGCGTTGTATTCCTGCAAATAAGTCGTGTCTTCTGCGAGCCACTGCTTCACAGTCATATATTATGTATAAGGCGGTTTCCTCCACTTCACCACACAGTAGTTGGGCCATTGTAGACTCTTATTTTTTGCATGTGCGCGTCAAGATGGCAGTGTCTTGTTAGTAGTCTTACCACTCGTCTTATCTGAGTACGCGTTAGTGACAGTACTCCAGCTGTTAGCATCTTTGAGGAGTTACCAATTATCCCCTCCGAGTATCTTGCTCCAGGTGTGGACCGCCAACAGTCAAGGTGTTGATGGGTCCACTACCTTTCAAGTGCCGTTTTCTGTTAGGGCTTTTACCCGCTTTTTTGATTCACTCTTTTTCGTTTTACAAAATCACTTTATTTTTGGTAAAAATCTCTTTATTTTCTCACAAAGAGAACCAAAATTGAAAAACATTCAGTTCTTACTTGCAATTCATCAATATACTCATTACTCCATCGATGCCAAAAGTGTTGTAATAACATTTGCAAGTGGGTACATAGAGAGTTTAGATATAAGTATGTCTTTTAAATTAGGATCTGGCAAATTACATAACTCTCTACCAATTAAAAAATCTGATGGTTAATACATCAACGTCATCACGGCTACATGATAAAGGACCAAGTGGCCTTGAATTCCAGATTGATTTAATCTGGGCAAGGACTGTGTAACGGCATTCAAAACAAAGAGTGCTATTGCCTACAATTCTATTTAATTGTAATTTACATCACTTTACCCCTGCTCCCCATACTCTTCCAAAATTTGGAGAATATGATGGAATAAATTTCCAGGACAGTTGCTCATTAACAACCTTCTCAGAAATTGAAGCAAGCTCAGTTTGCAAGAATTCTCCGAGTTGCTTTAGCTGATTATAAGTTCAAATAAAATTCGAACCATTGTCTGAAAAGACACATTTAGGCTTCCAACGTCTCGCAACTGGCAACAAACCTTCGGAAAGCAGCTATAAAGGCCTGAGTTGACAAGCTCGATGCCAGTTCCAAATAAAGAAACAAATATAGCATTTATTTATCATTGATCCCCTCCTATCGCGATCTTTAATATTAAGAGGCTCAGCATAGTCCACCCCTACATTATAAAAAGGATATACCAAATTAACTCTCTCTTCTGGAAGTGACCCCATAATTTGATTCATGTAGTTGGATTTGTCTTGAAACAACGTACGTAATGAAATTTTTTTTGCTAAACTCCTTCCACTCAACAACATTTGTGGTCCAGGCTGAAGTAATCTTTTATGTTCAAAAATAAATAAAATTTTGGTAATATGATGATTCTTAGGAAGAATAATTTTATGTTTTTTATCATAATCAAAAGATGATTTTTTCATCCTATCCCCCACCCTCAAGACTTCATTTCCATTAATGAATGGATGAAGTTTTATTAAATGTGTGTTTTTCAATATACTATCCTTGGACAATGCCTTGATATCTTCTATGAAACATTCTAGCTGAACCAATTTAATTATTTTTATTAAAGCCAAATCCAACTCTTCAGGTGTTAACGGATCCTTTATTTCAATTATTTATCCAAGCTTTAGTAACATCCCAAATCTTAAACAATAAGCTAGAGCGGATAAGGCGAGACACATTGCTATAATTTCTAAAGGAAATTTCACTATTAACTTTTGTCAACCCACAAATCTTAGTGTCTTCTTGTAGTTCTAGCAAACCCCCAAAGGATCCATTTTAGACCAATCAATATTTTTATTCATCAAGAAGTCAGGCCCATACCACCACTTTGAACACTCCATAATATTTTAGGGAAACATTCCATGAGACAAAATATCTGCAGGATTATCTTCTTATTGTACAGGGTGGCCCGTTTAAGAGGGGCCTATACCTTATCTCGAAATCTACAAGGTCTGTAAAAAAAACTTAAAGGTAAAAGTTGTTTCTAATAAAATTATCTACAACCTTTTCATATTTTTTTTGTTGTCAATCGCCTATATACAGGGTGGACAAATAAAATTTCATTTTTTTAATGGAACACCTTATATTTTAATACACTTTTACATAGCCCTTTGAAAGACAAATTCAACGATATACTGGTAATGTGTCTGTGATATACCGTTTCGAACTTATTAGTGATTATCTTCAGGATTTGGGCTAATTTTCAATAGTCATTGTTACGTAACTCATAAACTTTTTGAACTTTTTTCTTCATGATATTTTCTATAAAATAATGCTCTTCTTTAGTCTATAATTAAATTTGAAATATTTGTTTAATTACACAGTGTTGCCACGTTTCGCAAAATGTTATGCTTTTCAATTTTTTTAAATGAGACCTCCTGTAAATTTTCGAGTTTTTGGAAAGCTCTTCAAAAGACAAATTTAACGATATACTGGACATGAATCTGCGATGCACCGTTTCGGCCTGATTGGCGTTTATCTTCAGTTCTAGCACAATATCCAATGTCCCTGTTGAATGGAAAAAATGTCTAATTTTGCGGTAGATTAGCTGAAGTAGTGCTTTTTATGCATTAATGGTGGCATTATTGAACAATTTTTTATACATTAATAAAGCACGTTAATAGACGGCCGACAGAAAATAGACATTTTTGTTATTCACCTGGCGACTTGGACAGATGAGCTGAAGATAATTGCCAATCAGGCCGAAACGGTGCATCACAGACCCATTTCTAGTATATAGTTGAATTTGTATTTTAAAAGGCTATCCAAAAACTCGAAAATTTACAGGAGGTCCCATTTGAAAAAATTGAAAAGCGTAACATTTTGCGAAACGTGGCAACACCGCGTTTTTTAAACAAATATTTCAACTTTGACTATTGTCTGAAGAAGACCATTATTTTATAAAAAATATCATGCAAAAAAAAGTTTAAAAAGTTTATGAGTAATGTAACAATGATGTGTTTAAAATCACCCCAAAGCCTGAAGATAATCGCTAATAAGTTCGAAACGGTGTATCACGACACATTACCAGAATATCGTTGGATTTGCCTTTCAAAAAGCTATGTAAAAATTTATTAAAATATAGGCTGTTCCATTTAAAAAAATTAAATTTTATTTGTCCACCCTGTATATAGTAGAGTGACAACATAAACAATACAAAAAAGTTGTAGATAATTTTATTAGAAACAACTTTTGTATTTAGGTTTTTTTTACAACCCTAGTTAATTTCGAGATAAGGTATAGGCCCCTCTTAAACGGGCCACCCTGTACATATTTCCACATCTCTATCCCAGTTAAATTTTTAATTTGAGACACTCTGCAACAAAAACCCCAAGGGTACTTGAACTTGCCCCAATCCATCCCAAAACCACTTTTGCATCACACCAAAGATGAGTTTCATCGATATTAAGTAGGTACCATTGAATTTATAACAGTATTAAATTATTTAGCCAATAACAAGGCTCCACAAAGTTCCAAGCGAGGTATTATCTGAGTCTTTAGAGAAGCAACTTTAACCTTCGAACATAGTAATTAATGATTTTATCATTACTAGAAAAACTTCTCAGATAAAATTTATCTGAGATTCATATGGTGCCTGCATTTAATGCAGGCACCATATGAATCCTTAGATGCGTCAGCAAAACCATGCCACTCAATTTAAATTGGATTTAGACAGATGACATGCCGCTCAATAAATAAATTGTTAAGGCTAGAAAACTGTATTCCAAGTTTTACCCATCTGGAATTTAACTCCATTGGTAAAGTTTCATCATAGATAATACCACAAGAGAAAAAATTTTGTTGGCAAAATTTTCAACTGCTATGAAAGTTTGTTGCTTGGCAATTTCGCGAATGACATTTTTGTCAAAAATTCTATGAGCGAAATTACCAAAAAGCAACAAACATGAATAAAACCAAGAGAATAATTTTGCCTACATAATTTTTTCTTGAGTGGTATTCGGCTAGACTATTTCACGAGAAAAACAAGCCAAATTTTCATTTGGAAAACTTATTTTCTTTAGGTGACACTTTTCAAACTCGATAGTTTTTTACCTTAACCACACAAAATTTTGTCGCTGAAAAACCATCATGTTGGTTTTGTCCAGGTAGGAACAGGTAAAAGTTTTGTCAGTAGGAAACCGGCCGCTCCTATGACATTTTGCCAGTGTAAAACACTCTAGTGAAATAGTCCAATGTAAATTTCTGAGACCATAATTTCTGAAGTAGTATTCTAGCAATAATCATACAAGGTCCAAGCAATCCAAGAGGATCAAAAATCTACGCAGTATCTGATAATATTGATCTTTTTGTTACTTTTGGGAATGTTGAAAATGGAATACTAGACCTTAAGTTATCTGCTTTATATGCCCAATCAAGACCTAATAGTCCGAGAGCCAGCGCCAAAAAAGTGCAAGAGTTTCATGAAAGCTGAAAATGTAATATAGGCTTGTATTTGTGATGTATATAACTATACTCGAGTCAGCAAGTGAGGTAGCAGGACAAGCTACGCCCACGCACCTTTGAATGTGTAAAAAATTAATCGCGATGAAAGAGTTTCATGACAGCTGAAAATTTCTCAATCCATTGTTTATTTGATAAAAAACATGACGGACATGGTCAGATAGCATTATGTTAGGACAACTAGAGTCAGCATGCATATACAGGGTGGTCCATTCAACTTGAGACAGTCTAATATCTCGAAAACGGTGCGTTTTTGAAAAAAAAAGTTCAAATAAAAGTTACATGGTATCATGTGGGAAACAAAATGGCGGTACTGATTTTTGACTTTGACAACGTTTTCAAGGTTATTTCAAGGTCAACTCTTTTTTTTCAATAGAAATATATTTTTTATTACAGAATCTTATTCTACAGAAAAAAACAAGTAACT